GAAAGGAAAGGAAAGGAAAGGAAAGGAAAGGAAAGGAAAGGAAAGGAAAGGAAAGGAAAGGAAAGGAAAGGAGAATACACAGAAGAAAAAGAAAATGAGAGGAGAGAAGGCAGAAGGGAAGAGAAGAGAAAATAATTGGACTGCCATTTGTCAGAAATGGTTTAGGGTCTCTTGCTTGGGGGGAGGATTGGACTAGATGACCTACAAGGTCCCTTCCAACTCTATTATTCTGTTATCTGAACTGGAAGGGACCTTGGGGGTCTTGTAGTCCCACCCTCTGCTCAAGCAGAAGGACCTCTGCCATTTCAGACAAATGGTCATCCAGTCTTTTCATGAAAATACCTACAACTTCTGAAAGCAAGTCATTCTACTGGTCATTAAGAAGTTCATTATCTTTTGCTTATCACTCTTCTTAAGCGTAGCAGCAGACCCCTGCATTAAAAACAAAACATCCCTCTGGATCAAAATTATAAATTAGTCTTCAGAGGATTTGTCTTCCACGTTATACCTCTGTGCTCTATAGGTGGGGAAATCCGCCACATTTTCCTTTAAGCTATTAAAGCAATATTCCATAGATTAATTTTTTTCACCTGAACCAATAAAGGAGCTGCAGAGAACAGGGTGCCATTAACTGTGATTAAAAGGATTCCCAACTTCATAAAACACCCTGCTCAGACCTATTATAATCACTTAATTGAGAGGCAATAAATGCCACTGCTTTGACACATAAACCTAACAGCATCTGGGAAAGAAATGGGCTTGTCGTAGCCATAGTTTAGCATGCGAAATGTTTTGATGTATTGAAATTGGAGTGGTATAGAACCGAACAGTATGTGCAGAAGTCTTGAAAGGAGGCCAAAATCAGCAAATTTATTTGAAGCCTTTATGGTTTGAGGATGTCGGATAAATGTTGGGCTGAAAAGCTGAGTCAAGGTTTCATGGTTTACTGTGCCTGGTTCATTCTTAGCTCCCATATTACAATCTTTTTAATGCACTCATAAGGAACTAAAGATAACAGATTAAAAGAGTTGGCAGGGACCTTGTAGGTCATCTAGCCCAACCTCCTGTCCAAGCAAGAGACCCTACACCCATTATGGCAAACCTATGGCATGCATGCCACAGGTGGCACGCAGAACCATTTCTTAGGGCATGCTTTCTGTTATTCTACTATGCATTTTCTATTGTGGGAAAATGGGAGGGGGGATTGTANGATCTGATGGGACGCAGGGAGGTAATTGGCAGGAGCCCCCAGAAGCACTCTGAAGCCTGCAGAGTGCTTCTGGGGGCTGCGGGAAGGCAAAAATGCCTCTGTTGTTTGCGAAAAATGGCCCATTTTCACCCATTTTTCATAAAAGTGGGATTTGGGGGTGGGGCTTCGGGAGGCCAAAAATGTTGGGTGTATAAGATGCACCAACATTTCCACACTCTTTTAGCGGGGGGAAGGTGCATCTTATACTCCAAAAAATACATAAGTAGATTTCATGCCTGATAAGAGCCGGACTCTTTATCTAGCCTCCGGTTCAGCCTTTTCCCTCGTGCCTCATTTTCTCAACCCCATCAAAGTGCGAGAATGTTATCCACCTTCACAAAGGCACCAAATGTCAAAAGACCAGAGGTGCTAAATAAACACCAAGTATATTAATATCAGGCCAGGCATTTCATTATCTCTTTTCAAGAGTCATCTCAAAAGGAGGAAGAAAAAAAAATGGATGCACCTTGAAACCAGCTACACCCTAATTGGAGGCAGCGAAAATAAAAGAGGATAGCCAACATTTTCTCCATCTATCTATCTTGCAGAAATAAACTGAGGTGGGCTGGGGGATTCATTATGTGAAGGACACATTATCCTTTTTTCCCCTTCCTGTGTGATTCAGCATGGTAAGTAGTCATTCCTAATTGGCTTAGAGCTTAGTATGATATATGGGAAGGCTGAAAGATATGATGACACAGCCCAATTCCTGTGGGAAGTCCGCAAGACGAATCGGAGAGCAAAGGAAAGACGAGTTTGCGGAAGAATCGTGAAACTTCAAGCATAATTGTGGATTTTTGATGCGGGATATCTCCACTCAATATATTGGTAGGTCCACCATCTTTGGGATGAGCATCTATTTTACAGGATTTCTGATTGGATAGGGTCATCTACATAATAAATGAGCAAAGAGAAGGATTAATGGGAGACATGATAGCTGTCTTCCAGGACTTGAGGGGCTATGGGTAAGGGAAGGGAAGGAAAAGAAAGGAAAAAAGGAAAGGAAAGGAAAGGAAAGGAAAGGAAAGGAAAGGAAAGGAAAGGAAAGGAAAGGAAAGGAAAGGAAAGGAAAGGAAAGGAAAGG